GTTATTTTTACTGATAATATAACTGTAATTTCTAATTAGTGCAATTTAATTTTTTATATAATGCAAATTATTTGTTATATATAATAATCGATTTCAATGTGCTGTAAATTCTGTTTTAAAATTCTAACCTATAAATATTGTAGTAATTAATTATATTTTTATCATGTATAGTCTTAATGCTTTAACATAAATATTTATTGAGTTTTTCAGGATTTCATAATTAAAAAGATTAAAAACTCTAATGAAAAAAGTGACATGGAATTCTCCTGAATACCAGTAGAGCAATATTCAAAACGTCGAGATATTCTCAACATATCAGTTCTTTGTCAGAACTATTTCCCTGGTGTATCACAAAATTAAATTGTTATCCGCCAGCAAACCTTTAAACAAGAAAAATCTAAAAATTACATAATATATAATTATAATAATAACAACAATAATAATAGAATAATAATAATAATAATAATAATAATAATAATTTTAAATAATAATAATAATTATTATATTATTATTTTTTATAAAAATAATGATAATGAATAATTTTAATGAATTCAAAATTGTTAAAAAAAATGATAATAATCTAATTAATAGATAGTCAATGAACAAAGATTCTCATAGTAACATAATAGTCATATACGTAAAATGGTGTACATATTTACACGATAACACAAGACCTGGTTGCATAGCTTGATTTTATTGTGCAGTGTCAGTATTTACCAAGCATTTAAATTGAATAAGTATTCAGACTGGCTAATACTAATGTCGATGCATATCTTATGAGATGACACAATGTTACGGCATTCCACTTTACTATCTGTTTAACAGTGGCGTATCTAGGAGAATGCGCGGGGGTGGGGGAGTCAAAAATTACTCGCACCCCCAGTCGCCCTATTCTCACGACCAAAAAAAAAAAAAAAAGCAAATAACAAGTTCTCGTAATTCCGAAAGCTCCGATGTATAATAAATTCAGTAGAGTATATTGGCCCATACAAAAAAGAGTTATTAATCATTCAACTGAGTGTTTCTTAGAAAGAGAAAAGTCCACTCCCAAAGCTTCATAAAGAGACTTGGCTTATAAAGCATCATTCCATCCTGTAAGTGTCGAGTGTATTTGCTGTGTTGGATGTGAAGGAAGTTAAAAAAATAAATAAATTTTACATTATGAATATATTGAAGAAAATAATTCCAGTTATTTATTAACAGTTCAATTATTATTTTGATATGTTGTAGAACTGATTTTTTAAGACAAGAAAAGGGATGTAACCAAATTTTTCCTAACTTTTCCCCAGTTTTTAAAATATTTCAACATTTGTATCTTATTAACCATTCGCGAATTTATTTGTCAAAAACCCTTTTGTGTTTTAGAAAAGTCAGTCGTTCAACATACAATAAAAAAAATAAACCCACCACAGCCCGGCTTTAATCTGGCTGGTAATAAATTTAAGGTTTTTTGCAGTAAAATATATGTAGATCAGCAAAATCTAACTGTTTCTGGGTGGAAGTTAAACTTGTTTTATTCTTTCAATGAGCTATTCTAAATTCTAACTTATTTTAGTTGTTTCCTTAGATTTTCCCGACATTTTTAAAGACATTGTATAATAAATAAACAATTATGTTGCTGAGTAAAATGCATTAATGTAAGTTTTTGATACATTTCTCGATAGAGGGCAGCATAAAGTAACTCTTTGGTATCTCTAATTTTAATACAGTACGCATAATGATCATAGTTTCAGGAAATATCTACATCTTCCATTTTGAATGTTTCGGTGGGTTAAGCCAACCCCTTAAGGACTCCAAGTCTTGCTATTTTATTTAACATAAATATATTAAAACCTAGCATTTAAGCAGATCATTCATTATAACATTGTGACCAAAATGTCGAATTATTCAATTTGGAACGTATTTTAGATTTCATTGTGCCAGATTACTTATAAATGACGACAAAATTGACATTGCGTCAGAAAATAATGTCATTGTACATTTGGCATAGTTGTTACCAGACAATTGTAGTACATCAGTCACCTGTAAGAGCAAAAATACATTTTTATATAACATTATTATTGTATATAGTATAGACTAAATAATGTATATAAGTATATAATTATGTATATATATATATATATACTGTATATTGTATATATATGTATATATATATATATTTGTGTGTGTTTGAGTGTGTGTGCAGATCGCGCTTGGCCCAGTACAGTGCACAACACGAGTTGCACTATCGCCTGGTTCAATTAGATTGAACCCTAGCCAGCGATGAGGGCGTATCCCCATACTTCGGTTTGGGTGCTGGCATGGTATTCAAATTTCACTTCTTTTTATTTTGTGGTTTTGGTTTCCGTTCCATCTTTACACTTGCCGGATAGCGCTTAGAGACTTTTTGTATTTTGCGCTCTATAAATTAATAACCATTAACCATTAACCATCTCATAGCTGACAAACAAAATACATGTAATGTATTGGTGTTGAAATGGAAATATTTTGAATATTTTGAACACGTGTTTGAATGTAAAGATGAATTAAAAATATTCCTAAAAAGTTCCGAAAAAAGTGAAGTAAGTACATATAAAACGCTGTACACATTTACTGTAAAACTGCACTAATCTAAATATTCATCATCTATTGTTTTTGCCTACGTTAATACGGTAAACTAACTCTTTAAATGGTCCTCATATCCACACCCTATTTCGGATCGCGACCAAAATTGACACACTTCTTTATTAAAACATGACAAACTGTTTTGCCAATTGTCATTTTTATCCATTGATCCATTTTCCAGATATTTAGGTCTGGGACCTTTTGGCCTCCAAATGCACACCCGAATTTGGATCGTCACCATCACTCCATAATTTCTTTCTTGTACTTTGGTTAAGCTTTCACGAAAGTTTCATTCATATAAGTTGATTAGTTTTTAAAATATCTGGTCTGGGACGTTTTTCTTCATATGCACACCCCTCATATGCACACCCTACATGGGATGGTCACCAAAATTTAATCACCTCATCATTGGGTCATACCTAACAATCCCTGTAACTGGCATTTAAACCAGTGCAGCTGTTTTTGAGATATTTTGAACACAAGAAACACGCAGAACCTAAACAATTTAAATGACCCTCACGTTAACCCTCGGATTTGGATCGAGACCTACACTTGACAATTTCTTCCTTGTAACTTGGTTAAACTTTCACGAAAGTTTGATTTATATCAGTTGATTAGTTTTGAGATCTTGTCCAGGACAATTTCCTTTAAATGGTCCTGACATCCACACCCTACTCCGGACAGTCACAAAAATGTAATCATTTCTTCATTGGTTTGTACCTAACACTCCCTGTTATTATCAATTA